TACATTGTACACAGTTGCAATTGCATATTTATATTAAGTTGTTTAGCTGAGTAACGGGTATCTAATAGTCGAGGCACTCGACTATAGCGTTCTCTCTTGTTTTATCGTCCATCTGAGTACCGAGGTGAAAAAAAAGACTGACGAAAGTGTACGCCAGCTGTTTGCTTCTCGCTCTCTCTCAGTTTTCGTCGATCTGAGTACTAGGCTTAATTATGCATCACCATTTTTTTTAAGGCTAAAGCCTTTTATACAGGTCAATAATTAGAATCGATATATCGATGTTTTGATATATTTTCGACATCCCTAGTCATTGGAAAACAAAAAACTTAAACTAAAAAATTGCAAATCAATAATTAGACTCGTTATTACAGAAGCGTACTAATCTTAGACGGAGCTTTACCTGCATTCGCTATATCGTCCCGACACCAAATCGGAACACCCGATGCCCACAACTTCTCCCAAGCCCTAATGATTCTGGGAAGTATTGAACAGACGGAAGCGGCCAGAGACTCAGACGGCAGCTTTGCTGAATTTAAAGAATGGATCTCTCAGTAAAGTCATGCATTCAGGATTTGTATGGCATTGAAATGCACTCAGAAGACTCGAACTTTGGCCAGACTTCTCTTGCGTCTGGAAACTCGAGATGGTTAAAACTACCCAGGCTGGCCTTCCCAACCTTTAATAGTAAATATTCGAAATACAAAAACTTTATTACAATGTTCAATCACATTTTCAATAGATAAGGTTAATTATCAATCATCGTTAAGTTTATTTAGCTAATTGTTTGTCTCAGGGGTCCCGCACTGGAAACTATACAAGTCATGATATTCCGACCTTAGTATTTCTCGACAACATCCAATCACTGTTTTCCACCCGTAACCAAACCAAACAGCAAAACCGTACGCAGCATTGCTTAAATCGCTGCAATCGCTAACTACCGAGTCTCAAATATCTCAAGCAAGCTTATCTGGATCGTCATGGAGAAAGTAGATGAACGTAAAAATGGAACGAATCTTTGGAATTTTGTACCTTGCCATCTTGGTCATCATGGTGGATCGCCATTGCCAGTGGTAACACTGAGCACAGGACTTTCAGGTGTGCTCAATTTTGTGACATGACCATTATGCGGTGACCATTCGTGCTGTGTCTCAACTATCTGGACGTAAGACCTCGGGCAATTAATTGCCCTAATACTCAGAAATGTCGCAACAGCTCCAACGCCCATCACACCATGCTTCATAGGAAAACCTCAGTAACCCAATTGGTGGATCCGCACCTGGTGCCTATCAAATATATCATGGTATAGCACCTCTCACACACCAGCACTACAATCAAGTGACTGTCAAATATTTTTGGCCACAGCTAACGTCCTCTAAAAGATAGTTTTGGAAATTTCAATCTTGGTCGCGCACTCCTTGATTCGTGCTATGAAATGAAACTTCGCCCAATTTCGCCCTATCTGTCGAAGAACCAATTGATACAAATTTGGAACGTTTCTGGCAAACCCACCGTCAGATTCACTCCAGAACAGCAATTATGTGAGAACATATTGACGCAACATGTCAAACTACCACGGCAATTTGTTGGATGACCTTTTACTAATAGGACCAACAATTCAACGCGATCTTACTTCTCCTAAACTTCAGATTTTACCGATTCGCGTTAATCGGCGACGTGGTAAAAATGTATCGCAAGGTGTTAATCCGCCCAGAACATCAACGATTCAAATACATCTTTTGGAGAAACAACACCTCAGAGCCGCATCAGACTTATGCTTAAAACGTTTCATATGGAACCGCAGCGCTTTACCTAACCATTCGCAGTATGGTACACCTGGCCGAGTTTCCCACTGGGGCCGGAATAATAAAATCATAAAATCATCAACTGCATCAAATTCAAGCAGAAGTCAAGGAAATTCTGGGAACTGAAAAAATTGAATTAGCAAAGTGGCATTTAAACAATCCCCAATTTAGATTTGTCCCAAAAATCAAGGAAATAAATTTGGACGTTAAATCATCGAGAAGCACTCTAGGACCTAATTGGGACCACCATCGCGAAGCGTTCAGATTCGCGTTTAGACCGAAACAATTTACAGGACCCATTACTAAACGCTCGGATTTGTCAACGGCTTCGTCGTTATTTGACCCGCTCAGAACTGTGGGTGTTAAAATTGCTATGGGATGAATACCACAGGCATTAAATCAAGCCTGGAATTCGTTTGTAACATCGATATCGTCGTTGAAATCTCTGGCTGTCTTCAACCAAAACAGACTAACTTGCAACTCCACGGATTTTGCGTCGCATCGATCCGTGCAAATGGATGCTGCCTGTACGCCAGAAGCATCTCTGAAGATGGCACGGTGACTAGTCACTTGTAAAAACTGTCACTACCAATATTGGATCTATGCGGAGGACACTTGCTCGCTGCGCTATTCGCAAAAGTTAAGTTAGTCACCACAAATGTATCAAAATTTCTCTGGACCGATTCGCAACTCGTTTTGCATTGGATCAAACAGCATTCAGCAACGCTATCAACATTAGTCGGCAATCGGAATGCAGAAATACAAGACCTTACCCAGGACTGCATGTGGAGTTTCGTTCTAACTCGTCTCAACCCTGCGGACCTGGCATCGAGAGGATGCTCATTGGAGGAGCTTAGAAACTCAGTATAATTCGAAGGACCGTCATCAACACTCTCGAAATACTGGGTATGGCCATTATTAATGTAGAAAAGCGAAAATCTGCCTTCATGGTCATTCAAGGAGCAGAAAGGAATTATTTACTGGAGAGACTTCGACAGATCAGCTCATACAAGAGATGTTTGAGCGTCGTAGCTTTTATGAGATTGGGGAATGCCTGCCGAAAAACAACCACATTCGATACAATATCACCATCACCTGAAGAATTGCAGGAATCTTCAACAAGTGTACTTCGCTGACGAAATTGAAGGAATTCAATGGGGAACCCAAGCACGAGTCGACAACGCCAAAACAGACTGGGGGAGCTAATAGAATTTCTATTCGACGACAAAGTCAAATCAATGAATCTAATGAATTTGTAAACTTTCATTTTATTCCCCCATTTTAGCGGCCGCGGTCAAGAGCGTAAAGGAACTGCGAGGAGCTTACAACGGTCACAGCCGAAATTGAAGCGATTTTAATTCGCGACCATTGTCGCCGATGTCGTCGAACCCGAATGACTTTGCAGCAATGACACCTGGCCACTTCTGAACAGGAGACCCTTTTGAGGCGCTTTCAGAAAGGCCTATTATGAACAAAAACTGGGCAACAATAAATCGGTGGCAGCAAATAAGTTTCATCACACAGCATCTCTGGAAAAGATGGTCTAATGAATATATAAGGGAGCTTCATGGGCGCATAACTCAGTCATCCCAGGCAAGGACACTAAGCTGCGCGTTGTGGATGTACGAACTTTAAAGGGTATCATTCGATGACTGAAATAGGCCAGTTTATGGACTGGCTCTATTACCTGTTTTTTGAAAGTCACCGGAGCGGTTTCAATGGGTCCTGAATTTGGGTCACATTTATAATGTTTTTATTTGAAGAACTGAAACATCTGAATTGAAAAATTGTTAATACCTGAGCTTACGTTATGAAGGAAAGCTCCGAATTCCATCAGTACACTACTGCTTTATGTTACTCTCTGCTCACTGTAAAAAGCTCTCTCACATTCCCTCGGGATTACATTAAAATAGATCAAACTTGGAAGCGAAAGAATACGGTTGTGTTATTTTTATCGGTAGCTGCACCCCCACCCAAACTGAATGTCTCATGTTGGCTAAGAAAACGCTCTTGGTCACAGCACTAAGTAATTTTTTCAGAACATTTTAGTCTGCCATTGTGAGTACACCATTCAATTGTAAGGGCTGAACAAGGATACCTGTACACATCTTATTGTAAGGTTGATGTCATGCTTTTAGTAATCTTAATGATTCCCTTCTTGTTCTTGGGTAACACAACCCCAAGAACTAGGTCCAAGTAATTTTTTAGTGCTTTTCTTAAATGTTATTAAATGCTCACGAAAAGGTGCACAGTTCATTAAAGCTGCCTTGGTGTACAAAAATTAAAAAATTTTTATTTATTCTTCTCAGGCTGATTGGAATAGGCACTTGTAACACAAGCGGGAATTTCAGTATTTTAATAAATTTCAGTCATCAATATATAGCAGACATTGCGGGCTGAAAGTACCCACATTTTTGTTTGCGTCTTTACTTAAAGCTTATTTTGAGCCAACAGCAGCTTGGCATGAATTTCAACACAATTACCCCGTAGCTTACATTTTTTGATAAATTACTCTCAAGTAGTCAGTTAGACAGTAGATGGAAGATTACATCCGGGAAAAAAAATTATCATTGCCAAGATTTTTAATATGTTAAACTCTTTAAGCGCATTGTCAGCAGGTCGTTTAACCACAACAAACCCCGCTGTTTTTAGCAACTTTTGTCTTCAAGATATGGGTTGTCAAGCTAATGCAATCGACTGCGACGAAAGCACTTTTAGAGCTCAGGGCTAAGTTTCATTAAATGAATTTATGTACTTAGTATGAAAAACAAATTTTGGAAACAAATCGTGACGGTCATAGCCTTGCTATCCCCAAAGTATTCTTATTCGCGCACCACCGCGCATTCAAGTTTTATTTGGTAACCTGCCCCAGAGTAATTTGTATTCTTTTTATTTATGAAGTTCGGCTTAGTTTATCTTCAGAGGGTCCACTTATGCAGATTACTTAAAAAATTGCAGTCAAAACCTAAGCAGATTCCCAATTGCTAGATCGGAACTTGATTCCCCCAGCTCATGGAGTCGCCGAAATTCACTTTTGCTAGACATTAACAACTGTTTTTTTGTAAATGGCATAATCTCATATAATATTGATAGACACCCATTATTATTCTATCAATAATAACTAAAGCATTTTAAAATTGTTGTATTTTTCTTCGTAATTTATTATTTGATAGTCATCAATATGTGCTTGATACTAACCTTTTGGTAGTTCCACATTATGGCCTCCCCAGCCCTGGGCAACGCATGGTGTATATGCAAGATCCCTTTTCGGGTTTGAAGGTACATTGATTGATTGCGGTGGAGCAGGATTGACCTGTAGGAATAAATGGTTATTGATGTACAATAATTTGATTATGCATACATTTTGTTGTTGTCTCTGAGTAGTATAATGCGTTGGCTGCTCAGCATCCGGAATATCGTTATATCCGCCATGGAAATACGACGTTGGTGTTACGGCTGGGGAGAAACATTGACTATTGTTGTCCTCCAAAAACGCAGAGCTTGCTGAACCAGTTTGTAAAGCTGCTTCCCAAGGAGACTTAACAACTTGGAGTCCTGGCTTTGAATACTTCTCAATTAACTGATTTTGATGTAAGTTCAACTGAACACGATGTTTACCGGCATCAGAATATGCAGGCAAAATGTTTGGTAAAATAGGCTTTTGTTGATACTGCTGATAATCTGGAATACCAGACGGATGATTTTGAGTGCCTGCATTAGTTTCATCAACTATCCAATTTTCAGCCTTTTTGCGGCGCTTCGCAAAAAGTTCGGCACCTACATATTTGTCGTTAGCGGTTGGTTGTACCCCAATTGAAGGCGTTGGTTGCGGCGGGAGCGGCGGCGCGAGCGTTGGGGAGCGTCAATAATGAAGCAATGCAAATGTATTAAATAATATAAACCAGTATAGTAAAATGTTTGAGTGTATTAGTAAGCTGCCCTTCAATCTTAAACATGTTTGTAAAAGTATTAAACTATTACGAACAGCATATTGACTAAAATCTTAAATTATAATCACAAAAACTTGATTGCAGACTTGTTTCTCTTTGTATACCCTTGCAATTTATTATTATTATTTAGTTTACCTCATGCTAACTATCGTTTTTGTGGGGATGGTTTTTTTTTTAAAGGTAGTCAAAAAACTAAATTTCTAAATTACGTTTTTTTTAAATAATAACTAACTTTAGAAGAATGTTTGTGCCTTCATTTATAACCTAACTAGGGGTTCGATTTACAGATCCGTCATAGTAATCTAGATTTAAAAAAAAATACTAAAACAAAGAAGAAAGCAAGTTGCAGCTTAAAAGAAAATGAATTAATCAATAATCTTATTTTTAATGTATATATGTACTTATCCGATAGTTAAATAAAATATCTGTATCCATAAAAATTGGTTATGTTAAATTTTGTAATGAAAAATGTAATTTTTATGTTTAAAGTGATACAAGATATTATAATAAATTTGTAAATTGATAAATTGCCTATATGGAAATAGGAATTCGTCAGTAGTTCCCTACATCGTTAACAACTTTTAATATTTGGTTTCAAAATGTAACTTGCTTTTTATGTATTAAGATTGTACTGAGATTGTATAATATTAATTTTTTATAATCAGATTACATTTAAAATTATACAAGTTACCTCGTCCTTGATGAAGCTGCAGAGCAGTTATTAGTTCAGCGCAGTTGTCAGGCGATAAAAGGCCAGTTTCAACGTTAATCAATTCTTTGAGCGAATTATAATCACGAACTTTACCATTTGGGTTCATTATGAGCTTTAGCGGTATTTTTTCCAAATTTGTAAATTCCAAAGTGGAATTTATATCTGAATTCTCTTTATATGGATTTATAGCGTCATTAGAGCACTCATTCCCTATATATGTAAATGTTTGTAAATGTACGTAAAAAAGAGAACTCAGACGATACAGTTTTATATATTTTTAAGTTGATTACATTAAAATAACAAGTAAAATATGTGTTTATTTTTTTGTTATTATAACAAATTTATATAGTTATACAGTTTTCCAAATTCGGTAAATATTAATATAGTTATTCTTAACAGCCGGTTCTCACATTTAAAAATTTCTATCTATTAAGACTCCAACGCTTTTATATTTAGTTATCAAGCCAAGTACTCAGATCGACAAACGAGTATGCTAGCGTAAAAACTTTAATCTTTCCAGTGTGACCAAAATTTTGAGAGTTCATCAGATTTAGGCGTGCTACGGTCGTACTGTCAATACGCTGGGTTTGTTGACAAGCAGTTAAAATTCAAATATCGTATTTGCGGGAAAGTGCCTTTAAAAGATATTATCAAATACCTTGGCAAGACAAGTCTGCCGCTGTACAAAGAAACTAAAAAACAATACAATTTAAATTTAACAGTTGTTTTTTTTAATTTACTGATAATTATTTGCTAATTTAAAGTTCATAGCTGCACTTTTATTGTATTTTCGTAAATTTTTGACCTAAGAAACATTTTGCTCTGATAACAGGCACCCCAGATAGCATTAATGTTATTTTGTCCTCACATGTAAGCAAGTGTTTATCGACTTTTGTTAGTTTTTTGAGTTTGTCCCTCCATTTCTTATAATGTTCAGTGAGAGGCGCACGCAAAAGATTAAATTTTTTTAACTTTTCGCTAGGGTTCACCCAAAGTCCATTTCCGCAGACTGGCAACGCTATGCAATTTTCTGGTATTTTTTTCATCGATCTGTGGACCGACGTGAAAAAAAGGCCCGACGAAAAGTGAACGCCAGCTGTTTGCCTCTCGCTCTCTCATGACTGGCGGACAGTTTTTGTCGATCTGAGTACTAGGCTTTAAGGATTAATTATACTATTAAATGTCACATCCGTGAAAATTGATGTTTTAAATCTCAGATTGCAATTTTAAATTTAATTTAAAATGTGTGAATTAGAAACGAACGCGTTTGAAACGAACGCGTACAGAAAATCTTCTCAGTGTAGTCTTTAGGGAGAACCCAATAATACCTAGACCAGATCCTCTATAGCCTACCAATGACTAGAAGGTGGTTAAAGTTGAAGAAGACGAGGGACACACAAGACAAGCAGTACTTGTTCTAAATAAAAAATCTATTGCCCCAATAGGGAACAATAACTCGTGACTATTTCAATAAAAGTGTACAAAGCCAATACTAGATCGTCTTCTGACGGCAACTCAGCCGTGCAGGACATAAAAGATGAATTAAAAGCTCCAGAACAAAAATAGTATTCATCTTGTACAGGCCTGCTTCTCAAGACCAACATTGACCAGAAACATTTAACCGAAGCACAACACGCTTTTAGGAAGGTTGCACTACCCATCAAAAAAGAAACGTAGTATTTCCAAACATGTATAAAGTACCTACCTAAGATAAGCTGTTAAATTGGGCCCTTAGCAACCAAGTAGAGCAAAAAACGCCAGCGTTGCAATTTACTTGTTCACCATTGGTATTAGATGGAGAGAGTCCACCTCATTGTTAATTCAACAGTAGTGATGAAACCTATGTGACGGAGTAACAATCAGACTAATCAGATCTAAGCTTTTAAAGGTGAACTTATTTAATATATTTAATGAATAATGCGGCAGAGCTATGTCCAGCGATCAGCGAATAACATTGAGAGATGAAGTTTCAAATGAAGCATTCTTTCGCAAAACTGAAGCTTGAACTTTAACAATTCAATAAGGTACATAATAAAGAAAATTCATACAAGCTTTTTTTAAGTTTTGCTTTTCAGTCTCTAATCTTCAATGAACCTATTCCACTAAATGTGTTTTTTTTACATCTGTCCAAGCTTCAAGATCGCAGATCTTTGTGTGGACCCAAGCTCCCCTACGGATTCTTTTGGAAACCAATATATTTACAGTGTTAAAGCCTATTTAAGCCTTAGTGGTTACTTACAGTTAAGGTTTAATCTATTGGCAAATAAACAAATACATTTAAAAAATCAATATATACAGAGCATTGATATAGTCGAAATAGGGTGCCGAAGAAGTAATCGGTCTTCAGGTTACTTATACAAGTTGGAAGTAAGCTATTCACGAGAACAACTGTCGGAGACTGCGGAAACAAGCAATGATTATGAACCCACGAAAAGACAGCAGAATCAACAAAGAGACCATTGAGCAAGAACAAAATGAATTATGTACCTAGGTGGTAGCAATTAGATGGACGTTTTCGATGATATAACAGGCCACAACTTCTTGGCAGCCAGTAAGTCAAAGAAAATCCCTTAGCCCGTGATAACAACGTTTTGGATCGGACACGTAACGCCGCTATGTCGGCAGGAGTCTATGCAAGGTTTGTGTGCTTAATTCCTGCAAATTGTTGAAGACTTTAAACTAATCTGAAAGCTTACAATTCTTATTAATTAACATTTTCAAACTCTAGACGATTCGAATTCTTATTGCTTTCACGACAGAATGGTTAATGTTGGAGTTAGATGTTAAGGCTAGACACATCAAGGCTGGTTCATCGTTTACAATCAGATTTACTGAATGCAAAGGTGTTGAAACAGGCAGACACCCTAGCATACAGAGTTTGACCGAAAAGTGGATTTAAAAAATGTATTGAGCCGGTCCTTAAAATAAGTGTGTAAAAAATTTCAAAATATGCTTCTGCGTCGATACAACTCTGCCAGTGCGACTTCATTGAAGGCGTCATCGTAGGCATTCTCTGGAACCTTTACAGCTTTTGTTTAAGCTGCTTGGAACACATATGTAGTCTGAAAATGCGGTCCTTTCACCTTTTTGTTCAGGCGAGAAAACAAAAAAAATTCCATGTTGATCTTATCTCGGCTGAAAGATGGTCACTAGAAAGAAGGTGTAAGCTGGGGCGGTTCAATTTCCAAATCCGTGGGTACTTGCTCTATAGTACAAGTCATCCTGACGGAAAAGCACATGGCGCAAGCATTACTTCCACAGTGAGGGATCTCGCCTTGTGACTCTAAAAGGAAGGCAACTTTACAACGCCATTATAAAGGTTGGCAATAGGCTGGACTGTGTTTAACCTGTTTCACCCACATACTGGCATACCGGCAGATCCCAGAAAGCGGTCAGACTTGATTGTCTTCGCAGTTACAAAAAATATCCCACACACTCTGATCAGCGCCAGTTTATTGTCAGACCTATCATGCGGCCAGAAACCAAAGACAATCCTTCCAAAATAACATCAAACAGAACAAACTGGCTCAAATTTAAAAAGTTCGTTAGCTAGTACATTGAGCTAAATCCACGGCTGAACAACGTAGAAGCCATAAACAGCTTCACCAACACACTCGAGTCCGTTTTGGTCTCAGCGGCTCGGGTATCAACACCCCAAAGAAGAAACTTAGCTTACAACCAACGATACACAAATGCACAGATCGAGAGGCTGGTCCAGGAAAAGCGCGAAAAGATTGACAGTTACTTAGATCTCCATTCGCAAAGATAAAGTTAAAGAAGCCACACGACGACTCGTCAAGGCATTGCGAAAAGAAGCCCAAAGTACCCCGTGTAGAGGGCTCATTCATCAATAAGCACACCAGTTGAATAATACCCCCACGTTGGGCGCCAAATGTAACGAACTGATTTTTACGGTCTGCTCGCTACGAGTATGTTGTTCGTCCCACCAAAATTTATATAAACGCCCGAATGTCTAGTGAGAACGCACAGAATGTTAGGATGTTTTTACTAGGATCTTTATTCGTCGACTTGTCCCTCGGCCTGGGACTAATGGTGACAGATGGTTGTCTCAACGCCTTCCATGATAAATTGTGTCTGCTCCACCGTCGCTCTCCGCTGCCTCGTTGCTCGCTGCTCCGGAACGCCTCCGTTGTCTTTCGCCTCGGGGCTATGAGGGTCTAAGGATGCGTTACCGTTCCCAGACTAGGGTGAACAGGCACTGGGCTCTCAAAGCATGCACCTCTCGCAGCCACAGCCTACCGTCCCTGGATCTGTCCCGGCCGGTCACACCAGACGCCTACACAGTTTCTACCTGACTGTACCCCAATAAGCCGACACACTCGCTATCCCTCTTCAGAATGTCTTCCAGCCAACCCAGCACAGACGTGCTACCTATACAACCACGAGTAGACGAGAAAGTACACGATCACATTGAATTTACGCCGATTGATATAGTCAAGTTCATAAAGAAGCACCTGCATCCACGAAAATTTCCAGGATGCGATAAAATAGCTCGGTGATTATTGAGCTTCCACAAGTCGATCATCATAATGATACCTAAGCCTAGAAAAGACTACACAGCCGCCTCATCTTATAGACCTATAAGTCTACTATCATGCCTATAAAATCTTATTGAAAAATGTATGTTGACCCGTATTGTACCGTATCTAAGAAACCACAACATTATCCCAGCACATCAATTCGGCTTTCGAAAAACAAGGTACCATCGAGCAGGTAAACCATATAACATCGGAAATTCGAACCGCATTTGAGACGTTTCTCAGGCCTTTGACAGGGTATGGCTTACAGGCCTAATGCAGCACTCACAAACTCCTAAAGTCATACCTCTACAATAGGAAATTCGCGGTGAGATGCAAAAACACCATATCTGCTGACCATAACATCGAAGCTAGAGTTCCTCAAGGCAGTGTTCTTGGCCCAACACTTTACCTTCTTTATACTTCTAACATTCTTACGAGCGGACGACTTATGTCTACGTTCACTGACGATACTGCAATCCTTGCTCGATCAAAATGTCCACAAAAAGCATTAGCGCATCTAGCAGATCACTTAGTTGTGGTTAAAAAATGTGTGGCCGAATAAAGGTCAATGAGCACATTAAACATACGGGACTGTCCTCCGCTTACATTAAACAATACTGTGCTGCCTCAAACAAAGGAAGTAACGTACCCTGCCGTTCACCTTGACGA